TACTCTTATTTGTCATGAACGGAATTTACAACAGGAGAAACTTTTACGTCGAGTTTTGCGGTAGACTTACTGATGAATTTACTTACCGATGATTAAGCCGTGTCTTTTCAATATTATTAAACCTCTTTTCTGGTATTTACTTTGTGCTTTCTGATACTTGTGCCCATAAATAAGCAGTTGCAACCAAGAAAGACCCGAATTTTGCAAAATTTTCAATTATAATCAAAGTGTGTTCATTTCCATCATCCATAAACAATTCCAAAGCGAAATAAGTCCGACTCGTTTAGGCATTCCGGGTATTTTCTGACCTGTGCACACCTCTGTTATAAAATCGATTGACCCACATATTATGCACGAACGAATCCTCCGAATAGTTGAACAGCAGGTTTTTCGGTAAAGAATTATTACGTTGTACCCAAATTCTTCTTTCCTTGCGGACCCAACGGTACAGATGATTGAAAGTTTAGTCAACCGTTAAAAGATCGAGATGCTGGCATTTCTTCGCCATTGACCATTAAATGTTGAAAGAAGATTTTTTTTGCTACAAGTTGTTTTGATTTTGCAGCATAAGCAGAAGTTGACTGTATTGTCATGAGCCCTGAATTTAAATCGAAACTCATTGGGTCGGATATTCGCTTTTAATAGTGTGATTTCAATTGCTAAAAGTTGGTACCTATTTAGCTTCTTCCCTTATTATATCTATGTGTTATCTGATTGTTCAATTTACAGAACGTGTTATTGTTCATGATTTGCAATATAAATTGTGGAAATTAGCAACTTTTAATTAATGGCAGTAAAGGCCTTATTTTAAAACGTACTTCCGGACCCAAAAATTACCATCAGTAAATATGTATTTATAATATACGTTAATTGAACCAATGAGCGCTAAGCAACAACAGCATCTTTTTCGGCTTGCCAACTGCTAATTAATAGTACGGGCCAAATTGGGGAATATAGAAAATTATAAAATAATAATATAGTCCTTGTTTCCATGGCCTACTACACATTTTTATCTTCTTTTGAAGTTTTACGGCAACAAAAGGAAAAAACATACAAACAGTTATATCGTTAAATTCAGAAAAAAATAAGGGTTTTAAAAGGCCCACAGCCAACTATGATTACCATTTAAAAAAACATAAGTTTATTTTTTATCTGTTAAATCAATTTGACTATGACAATGAGTGCTAGTTTACTGAATTCAACGCAAAAAGTTCTACCAAAGACAATTTTAACTTTTTTTTTCTAATTTAAGCAGTTTACGAATTATATGATAATTAAAAAAGTGTTGATTTCTTGCCTTTTCAGGATATTTCAGGAACCAAGTCGGGTACCTAAATTTT